TCTTCTTGATAATGAGCCTCAATCCATATTGAAGGCTTCAGTCCTTGACTTTCAGCAGCAAGTGCTTCAGGTCCTCTTCAGTTTGAGCAAACAGGGTTGTGTCATGTGTCAGATTGTTGATACATTTCCCACCAGTCCTGACGCCACACTTCTCACAGAGCCTAGCTTCCCAGATAATCTGTTCTGCATATAGGTTGAAAAGATATGGAGATAGGACACATCCCTGGCGTACACCCTTCCCAATTTTGAACCATGCTGTGTTTCCTTGCTCTATTCTGATGACTGCCTCCTGGTCCAAGTATAGGTTTCACATTAGCATGATCAAGTGTTTTGGCATATAACTTTAAAATGATAACTTTTTCCTTTTTAGGCCTGTTGTTCTTGTGTGCCATCAAGTTGGAACCAACTCATAGCTGATGCTCCAGTGGGTTTTCACAGGCAGTAAATTTCATGGGAGGAGATTGCACATCCTTCTTCTTCAGAGCAGCTCATAGATCAAACTATGTGCCTTTGTGATTGCAGCGCAGCTTCTTAACATTAGGCCATATGTTACTGTTGATGAGTGCTTTTTATTTGGAACTAACCCACAGCTGACCCACCATGGATTTTCAGAGGCAGTTACCTCAAGGGAAGAAATTGTTCATCCTTCTCCCGAGATGCTGCTGGTGATTCAAACCATGTGCTTTTGAGATTCTAGCACAGATTTGTACAAGGCTACTAGAACTCCTAAGCCAAATATATACATATATATATATTAAGTTTATCAAGAAGTCTTACTACGCAAAGGAAAGAAATAGCTTTTACCTGTGTGTATCTTAACAACAACCAAAACAAACTGAATGTCATTGTATCTGTAAAAAATATGAGACCATTATCATGATATTTGGGGCATATCTGTTGATACTGTTTTTGTTATGTGCCGTTGAGTCACTTACGACTCAGTGACCCTATGTACAAGAGCTCTAAACCCTGCTCTATCCTGTGGCAACCTCACTGACTCTGACACACTTACCCCCACCACTCCAATCACAAAATCGATCCATCTCATCGAGGGTCTTCCTCTCCTGCGCCATCCCTCCACTCTCCCAAACATGATGTCCCTGTCTAAGAACTGGTCCTTCCTTGCAGCATGCTCAAAGTATGTCAGATGAAGCTTCAGAATCCTTGACTCCAAGGAGCAGCCTGTCCTTACCCTTTCCAGGACAAACCTGTTTGTTCTCCTAGCAGTCCATGGTATATTCAGTGCTCTTTTTCAGCACCACAGCTCAAAGGTATCAATTCTCTTTCTTTCATCCTTAGTCACTGTCCAGCTCTCCGATACATAACACGCAGTTGCAAAGACTGTAGCCTGGATTAGGCGCGCCTTAGTCTCCATCCTGATGTCATTGCTCTTCAGTACTCTGGAGAGGTCTTTGACAGCTGACTTTCCCAATACAATTTGTCTCTTAATTTCCTGACTGCAGGTAGACTCTAAAAATGTACCCTGGAGGATCAGTTATGAATGAATTCCAACTCGAAGGGATTTAATTTTGGCTAAAACGCTTTACTGTATTGTCTTAAAGTTTATTCAAAGAATTCATGGATTGAGATGAAAACATTTACATTGAGATAGCCACCATATATCTTCCAGAAAGTCGTTAGGAAAGCCCGCCTTTTGTGATTGACATCTAACACAGCTTACTAAGCTGTCTTACAGAGCCTACCTGTAGTCCTTATTGTATCATTTACAGTTGCAGAAACAGCGAAGATAGTTAGTGTTTGCGTGACTGGGAGTTGATGTGGTTGTGTAACGATTATATTGAAGTGTGGTGAGGGAATCTCAGCATCTATTGAGAAGAATACTTGGGGAAATGCTATAATAAGGAAAAAGGAAAGACAACACCCCTGGAGGCTGGTGCCAACAGTGGAGTGCTGCCAATTCAGAAAATAGTTCACTGTATCTTGATGTGATACAAAATATTCTAATAAATGTTAGTTTTCGGACAATCCATTTAGGAAGCTAATATGTACATCTTTTAGACTTGGATATTTCTGCAAGAAATACTTGGGAATACCTTAAGCTAATAACGAAGTAATAAATGTGATTTTTAAACCCAAAGGAATTTTCAGAATCCATCCAGTTACTAAACACTTGACTCCAAATTAATTTTTAACTGTTTTCAGAAAAGACTTTTTTAGTATTTAAAATATTTTGCATATAAGTATTATGAAGAGCTCTAACATTTTTTAGGGGGAAAGGGAAGAGTAGCACTCGATCCCCGTAGTGGATGCATTGAAAAGGAAATAGTCATTTGGGATGAAAAATGTAGATTATTTAAAAATAAAAGAAAAAAAAATTGGGAAGGGCGTACGCAAGGGATGCGTCTTATCTCCATACCTTTTCAACCTATATGCAGAACAGATTATCCGGGAAGCTGGGCTCTATGAGGAGAAATGTGGGGTCAAGATTGGTGGACGATTTATCAACAATCTGCGTTATGCGGATGACACAACCCTGCTTGCTG